TGGAGAGACACCTTCGCTTGTACAAGTCGGACATCTCAGCCTTCAAGATTAGCGGTCTTCGCAAGGTCTACCCGCGTCCTCTACTGATCAAGCGTGCAGACGCGTACCAGCTGCTGCGAGTTAAGCACAATGCCTCCGCAAGGCAGAAGAGCGAGCTGGACAGGAAGCTACTTCTGAACCTAGCCCAGTCGTCTGTGTCTTCGTACGCCGACGTCAGGCGGGTGGCACAAAGCGCTTTGGACTCGTCCCTCAAGGCTCTTATCGGCGGTCGCCCCCTCGTCATTCCGGTCCTTATCGAGAGGCTTCGCGTCGCCCTGGACGAGATCGACCATGATCGCATCAAGGGTGCCATGTATACTCTCTTCTTCACTAGTCTCCTAAGGACCATCGTCAAAGACTGGCGATTTGCCCCGGAGGCTCTTCGACTTTACTTAAAGGCAGGCACTATCGACAAGCCCAGCATCCAGCAGCTGGGCGCCACTGCGCTGTTTCCCCTCTTGGATTTCGGAAAGCCATTCGAGCGGATGATCATCGTCAATCAGGACCTTGTGGAGCAAATCCGTCCTACGGAAGACTGCTCTCGGCCCATTGACAACCGCCACAACTTTATTGTCCAGCGTCGCGAACGTGTCGAAAAGAAGAAGGCGGCCTTGGGCTTGGAGCTGGTCGATATGGCCAAGGAGGCGCACTGGAAGATTGCCTCCCGATGCGTGATATTTGCCACCAACTTGTGCCTACGCTTCGACACCTTGGCACCCCCAGAGTTCATCAAATTGGTCGCGCAAGGCACGAACGATACCCACCCTGGGCTTCGGGCTAGTTACACGTCCGCCTTCACCTCCGTGTTCGAGGCCGTCGAGATGCGCGCCGCGTATGACCACGACTACCGCAACTACTTGTTGGAGAAGGAGAAGGATCGGAATAAACTGGCGATAGAGGTGAAGAAGGGCGACAAGGACTTTACTGACCGCTATCTCGCGGCCTTCGCTGATTCCGACCCCAATAAGGCTGAATACATGGTGGACTCCGACCATCCCGGATGGCTTGTGTGGGGCAAAAAGTTCCTCGCCTCTCGTGCGAAGCCCGACCCCTTTACCGACTACGACGAGCGAGAGGCCGCCGTGCGGTCGCAAATCGGCAAAATGCTGACGCGCGACTGGCTGAAGACCTGCTTCGACTACCTCAAGCAAGAGCCCCGTGACGCGGGCGCCGATCGGTTCCGTATGGGCAACGTGTACATGCTCATGCACGTATTCGATCTAATGCACTACGGAGGGACGGAGATCACGCTGGACGACGTCAAGGAACTCACTACGGACGTATACGGCGACGGCAGTGATAAGCACCAGCACCGGGCGACATCAGAGATACTGGCGGCACTGATGGCCGGGTCTAGTGACGACCCCCTCGAATTCCGTGATAAAGTGTGGGGCTTCGCCGCTACGTTGATGTTGAAGATTCTCAACGAGGACCTGACGCCGGAGAACCTGCAGTACTGGGTCTCCTGCCTGCATCTGACAGTAGATCCGAAGGACCCTCGTCGATCTCACGAGTTGGTCGATACCCTTAGTGCTTTCAGGTTGGATATGTCGTCCAATGCCGCGTTCAAGGAGTCGAGCAAGGTGCAAGTGCTCGAGTTTATTATCACTGACGCTGGCTGGCACTTCCGTCACGAGAAGCCGATCCTCGAAGACTTCTTGGCTCATATCGACCACCCGTACAAGACGGTCCGTGAGGCAATGGGTCGGGTCATCGCTACCATCTACCGCACCAGGTACCACGAATCGTTCGAGAATGTCGACCGTTTGCTGGAGGCAAACAAGGAGGCCTCGTCTCTGGGAATTCGCCCTTACAAGTGCACCGAGGAGTTCGACGCTACCATGCGCGAGATCTTCGATCGACTCGAAAAGTGGCGTAAAGAGCGTACGCCCGGACAGCAAACGCCGTCTTCCTACACCTCCGGATCGAAGACCGTCTTGACTTGGCTGGACAGTACGCTTTCGTCTCAGGAGTGTACTCAGCTGATGCCCTTCTTCCCGGAGCCTTATATGGAGCAGCTCCTCCACATGATGGATGTCAAAGAAGACCCCGAGCTTATGCGTCTCGCCTATCATGTCTACCGTCACCTGCCAAACATTCCTTTCCGCGTAGGCGAGGATGGTCCCTTCATTGATGCTCTGGTCAGGATTGGCAAGTCTGCGGCCAGCTGGCACCAGCGGTTGAGATCCATGGTCAACATGCAAGTCATCTACTTCCGTCGCTTGTTCCTCATCGAGAAGAAGCAGCGTGACATCTTGTTTGATGCTGTCAGTGACATGCTGGCTGATGCGCAGCTTGAAGTGCGATCTTGCGCTTCTGCCACTTTGGCCGGCATGATCAGGTGCTCGCCGAAGCGCATCCGCGATCCTACCATTCAGCTTCTGAAGAAGCGCTACGAGAATGAGTTGCGCCTCAACCCCATGCCGAAGCGGAAGCTCCCAGGCACCGAGACGCCGGTCGACACCACCAAGCAAATCGTCCGCAGGCATGCGGCTGTCCTTGGTCTGGGTGCGCTCATCGAAGCATTCCCGTACGCCACTCCGCCGCCGTCCTGGATGCCTGAGGTTCTGCAAATTCTGGCGACTCGTGCAGCTAGCGACCCTGGAGTCGTCGGTAAAGCCACCAAGGCAATTCTTTCCGACTTCAAGAAGACCAGACAGGACAGCTGGAGCGTGGATCAGAAGGTACGTCGGCACGTCACATGTTATTTCATACACCAAGCTAACAGCTACATACAGTACTTTACTCAGGAGCAGCTTGAGGACTTGGAGGGTGTGTTGTGGAAGAGCTACTTTGCCTAAAATGGCACCGGGCGAAGACGCCGGACGAAGGTGCCGGACGAAGGTGCCGGACGAAGCCGCTGGACGAAGGCGCCAGACGAAAGCGCCAGACGACACCGGACGCCAAAGAGGGGCGAGGACAACAAGAGAGACGACGGCGAGGATTACGACGATAGAGGCAACGGAGCATACTTGAACAGCAGGCCTTTCCGTCGTAGTCGTGTAAAGTGGACTTGGTCATTCATAGATGTACGGTTATGAAGGCATGCGTGGACGATGATATCCAACTGGGTTGCATGGCTCTATTAGACGGGGTCAACGGATGGATTCTGGGATAAAGAGAGTGTCTATTGGTGAGCTAGTTTCATAGCTCATACATCGTTTCTGCCATTGGACTTTCACGAAGCTCGGGTGATCACTGTGTGGAGAGTTCCGTGACGACGCAACGTCAGGCAACTCGCGTGGATTTCTCCGGCTAGTTTGCCCAGTTTGCAGCTTATTTCGGAAGGTTATCGTGAACTTTATTTTGAGGGAAGCCAACGTTCTGGAACAAGCTGATGCATCCAGACCGGGGCCCCATTTACGATTCACGCGAGGCCGCCCTCTGATTGCTGGCCTTATATGAAGATGCGCGCAGCGACAGGGAAATAGCTCTCGCCGACGCCGTTGTCAATGTTTCAGGGACCCAGTTCAGACGTCTGAGACGTGTACCGGCGCGGTGGCGCGGCCGGGGGGCAATGACTCGGCGCGCGCGTGTGAAGCGCAGTGTCGTACCGGAGTGCGGGTCGTTCTGCCGGAACGAGTGAGGCGGGGCCCTCAGCTGTCGGTGCCTCTTGTCATGACTTGACTCGACTTTGTTGACGATGTATAAAACGGATGAACTGGGACCTTGAGGGACGGTTGGTTCATCTCAAGTTCATCCAGCCTCTTTATTCAGTCTTCTACACTACAGCGTTGATCGCCCGATTTTTGTTTACTTTGCTTTAAAGCTTTACGCACCATATACCCAAACCAGCAAAATGAAGTTCACGATTGTTGCCACGAGCGTCTTCGTCGCTCTCGCTTCCGCGCAGGCCTCGACGTTCTTGTGCAGAGACATTAGCAACAACGTGATGACTGATGGAAGTATTTGCACCGGCGCCGGTGGAAAGGATTTCGGCAGGGGAGTAAGTTGCCACCTGACGTGAAGAAAGTAGAGGGAAAGATGCTGACTTGCGGTTAGATCTGCTGTATCGCCAAGTCGAACGCTCTGGCGCAGAGCCGCTTCGATATTAACTGCGACGATAAGCTTGGTACTACGCAGAACACCGGCGAAGCTTGCCAGCTTTAGAGGGTGTATGTCAAGTAAGGAGGAAATGAAGGGTGGAGGGGTTGGTGAACAATATACCCGGTTGAGATTGAATGCTTGCGCATGTGAAGATGATGCTTGTGATTGTGATTGTGGAATATGAATTGTATGATGGATAAACGAATACTGATTTCGCATCATATCAGAAACAACTCGAGTCTGCCGGCGATGCAGTTGTTCATCTCGTGAACATCTTTGACGTACCCGACCAGAGTCATGGTATTCAGACGGAGTTCCAACGTCCTATGATATTGATAATCTTCATCGCGCGTCTATGCCTTGTATTCAGCGACTCCATCGCATCCACTGTCTTAGCTATCCTAGTCGTGCCTATCACCTATATAAGTATCCAGCTGGAGACATGACGGTTCGGCCCCATAATCGCGGATGCGCTCCGGCGAGAATCTTGAGATGCGGCGGATGTCGCAGGAACTCGGAGGAGATGCACCGGACAGGGACATGGTACCCCAGCATGTAAAGCCTCATCGAACCAATCTTCGCGCTTGTGGCTGTTTGTCGCGGTTCTTCATCTGCTGGGTTGAGAGCACGTCATTGAATGACGAGAGCAGCGGCAAGGCTTCCGAGTGGGTGATGACCGGCCCGAACCGATTCAGCCGGCGATGTTGGATTTGGAGTGCGGCATCGCTCAATTCATCAACCTCTTGCGCCATATCAACTGGTATTTGCGTTTTGGGCTCAGTGGGCTTAGTCAAGGGTTTCCTGCTTAAAAGCTGAGACGAAAGCTTCGAGGACTTCCGCCAAATTCACAATACATCAACCCCTCGTCTTCCATTGAAACCTCGGAAAGTCTTGAATTGAAAAACAATTATATGATGAAGCTCACTCCGGGGGTCGCATGCCTCAGCTTGGCCTCTCTTGCAGCCGCTGACTGGCGCTTCCGGTCCCGCCCCGAACTTGCCGCCCCGAGACTCAACATTACTGTTGCAGCAGACTCTCATGCCGTGGAGAAGGGCTTCATCTTTGTGGCACCCTACGAGGGTTTCCAAGAAGGCCACAGAGGCCCTGTCCAGCCGGGAGCTTACATCTTTCGAGACGATGGAGAGTTAGTCTGGTCCGGCATAGGACACCATTCCGGATGGGTCGCGAACTTCCGCCCCGATACTTGGAACGGGAAGCCGTATCTGCGTGCATTCCAAGGATCGTTAGATGGAAAGCACGGTAGGATGTTTGGCTACCACACGCTCCTCGGGCAGGACTATGAAGTTGCCAAGGTGGTCAAGGTCGGATCGCACCGGCTCGTCTCGGCGCACGAGTTCCGGCTCGTTGACGGGAAGACGGCCTTGGTGGAGACGCCGATCCCGCGAACGGTGTCGTTGAAGCCATGGGGAGGGACTGCGGAGCAGAATTGGATCCTGTCAGGGGGTTTTCAAGGTACGCTGTCCACCGTGTTGTGTCAGTCTGGCTGCTAATATCTCTCAGAGATTGACATTGACACCGGGGACGTCGTCTTCAAATGGGAAAGCTTCGACCACGTTGATCCCAAGTGTGAGTGATTGACCACTTGCTTTAGTTGGTTAAAGGTGGCTGATTATCCTCGTAGACAGCGCTTTCCCACTTGACTTTGGCCCCGGTCTGCCCGGAAGTGGCACAACAGAGACGGATGCCTGGAACTATTTCCACATTAACAGTGTCGACAAAGACGACGAAGGGAACTATCTCATATCGGCAAGAAACGTCGCAGCGGTCTTCAAGATCAACGGAACCAGCGGCGAAATCATCTGGCAACTCGGAGGCTTCCATGGAGGTTCTTCATTTGCGCTAGCCAACGAAGACGTGTTTGGCTACCAACACCACGCGCGATTTCGCAGCCGTTCCGCAGATGGAAAGATCGAAGTCATCTCCCTGTTTGATAATGGAGCCCACTCGGCGCCCCAGAAGACGAACGCATTCTCGCGGGGGCGCATCTATCAGCTGAACCACACCGACGGCACCGCGAAAGCGATCCAGACGTACGACGCACCAGATGGCTTGTCGGCGCACACGCAGGGTAGCTTGCAGATCCTGCCAAACGACAATATCTTTATCAACTGGGGCCAGTCTGGCGCGGTGACAGAGTACAGCCATGAGGGCAAGGTCTTGTTCCACGCGTACCTCGATTCCGCTCCGGAAGGTATCTTTACGCAGAGCTATCGTGGCTTCAGGTACAACTGGACCGGAACGCCTGCTGAGGAACCTGCTATCGTGACTTTCAAGGGTGATCGAGATGGTGAATTGGATGTCTACATCTCGTGGAACGGAGATACGGAGGCTGCCGCGTGGAGGTTCTACGCCCGATTTGCAGCGAAGTCTAAGGAAGATCTCTTGGGAGAAGTTGAGCGCGAGGGCTTCGAGACCCACGCCAAGTTTCGTGGAGTAGCTGTGGCTGATGACATCGCGATTATTGCAGAGGCTGTTGGGAAAGATGGGAGAGCGCTAAGGAAGACGAGACCTGTCCCGATTTCCTTCGACTTGGCTAATCCGCCTTCTGAGCCGAAGTGGGGAATTGACGAACTGTGAAGCAATTGAACAACACATGCAGACTTCGGTGCATTATTTGTAAATCATTGAAGGCAACACGTAGGTCATGAGAAACATGTAACGGAAATGAGATGGAAGAATCCACGTTGAGCAACCAGAGATGTAGAATCCGAAAACTTACCGTATCCCATGGCGAGGGAATCATCAGAGACAACGAAGCGGTCGGTGCTTCAAATGGTTTCCGAGATATGCCGTCCCATAATTCGGAGCATCTACTTGACCTCCCCTTGCGGAGAGGAGGATTCAAACCTTGAACATTTCCAAGGCGGCTCTGCTGGGCGCGATCATAGCTTCCGTGCCAAGTCAAACATCGAGCCAGATTCCATCTTGTGTTGAGGCGCTTCGGTCAACTCCCGAGCACCAAGAAGTCTTGGAGTCTTGGGGATCTTGGCCCGCCATCTTGGCCCGCCCGCCGCGCTCCTCCCCTCCAACCATTCTTGGTCTTCATTCGACGGGTTTGCTGCCAAATGTTGAAATCCTCCCTGCTCCCGACTTTCAGGTCGGTCGAGGCGTCGGATGTTTTGCCATCTTGGTCTTTGAAAAGACATGTATGGTTAAATCTCAGCGGCTCTGCGAGATGCACGCCGAGCCCGCCCAGACCCTAGGACGCCTTCACGACGGGGACTGTACTTAGACGAACCCGCTGTAGCTAAATGCTTGCAAGAGAATCAACGACTGATTAACCTCGGATGATGGGAAGATATCGGAAAAGAAATCAGTGGGACTTGTGGAGGCGGGCGTGGTAGACGATCACTTTCATATTGTCTTGGTTGGCAAGTCGACATCCACGTTCGAAAAGACCCCATCTGCTGAGAATGCTGGCGTGGAGCATCTCAAATCTGGAGGCGGGGTCTGGGGAAAATGAGGAGGGTTGAAGCGGAGAGATATGGGGAGACGGGGCAATGCGAAGCGAGATCCAGCCTCCACTGATGTTGTTGTTCAACTGTCCCTCCCCGTCTACTTTTCCTTCCCTTTCTTTATAAGAAGCTTCTTACGTTCTTAGTTCTTTTTAATCTGACTTCATTCTCTGATTTATCTCGTTCTCATTTCCTGTTAATCTCAGTGCCTTTGCAAGATATGGTTTCCCAAGAAAAGCCATCCCAACGTACCGGAGGCACCGCTCCCCCAGATGCCGTCGAGACCAACCGCCCAGATGAGGTCAACAAGGAACCGTCAATCGTCGAGGCAAATGATGGGGACGGAAAGGGGGAGCTTCTGCCTTCTCCAGAGGAGCAGATCGACGCTTTGGGCATCCCAAACTGGAGAGAGCTGGAGAAGCAGGTCGTCAAACGCCTTGACATGACTCTGATGCCATGCCTCTGGGTCTTGTATCTGTTTAACTACTTGGATCGTGCCTCCATCGCGTAAGTCATAACGCCCCTTGCACATCAATTCATCATTTGGCTTCAAGCTGACGCACATCGCATCATAGACAGGCTAGACTCAGCAGCCTTGACGAGGACCTGGATCTAAAAGGGTACCAATACGGCACTGCGGTTTCGATTCTAAGTGTTGGGTGAGTTTCTTGTACCTCGCAGAACCTCTTTAAATGCTAATGAATCGGTAGCTACGTTCTTGGCCAGATCCCTTCGAACATGATCATTGGAAAGGTGCGGCCTAGCCTGTACCTCTGCTGCATGGCCCTGGTCTGGTCTAGCGTCTCCGCTGCCACTTGTGGTGTGAAGAACTACCAAGGGCTCATTGCCGTGAGATTCTTCTTAGGAGTGGTCGAGGCACCGCTGTTTCCTGGTGTACGTATGAAGTCAATCTTAACAGTTTCTATGACTAATGATGTCGGTTTCAGGCAATCTATGTCATGTCTTGCTGGTACACAAGGAAGGAAATGGCGCTCAGATGTGCCCTTCTATACACTGGCCAGACACTCGCATTTTGCACCGCAGGACTCATTGCTGCCGCTGTTTTCGGCACGCTTGAAGGGTCGTACGGCTTGGCTGGATGGCAGTGGCTTTTCATTGTCCTCGCGTCCACTGGTGCAGGACTTGCCATGATCGCCCTGTTCATTCTGCCCGACTATCCAGACTCCACAACTGGTAGTGCTCGTTGGTCAATGACTGAGGACATGCGCAAAGTCGCCGCTGCTCGCATTCTTGCCGATCGAGTTTCCACCGCGGAGGCGAAGACTGGTGTATGGCACGGACTGAAGATGAGTGTCTTCGATTACAAGATGTGGCTTCTCGTCGGCATGAACATCGGCATCTCGGCTGCCTACGGGTTCTCCAACTTCTTCCCATCAATCGTTCGCGGATTTGGCTACAACAACACGATCACTCTGGTGCTCACGGCGCCCCCATACATCTTCGCCGCCGCTGGATCCCTGGTCAATGCCTGGCACTCCGACAAGACTAAGGAGCGTGGATACCACTTTGCGGGACCTATTGCGTTTGGGTGCATCGGCTACATCATTTGCCTCGCCACCGAGAACCGCAACGCCCGTTATGGTGCCTCTTTCATCTACGTTGGCGGCATGTACTTCGCCAACCCCTTGATCAGCACCTGGACTTCCAATACGATGGGCAGAACCCCTGAGAAACGTGCAATTTCTGTCGCTCTCGTCAACGTTTTGGGTCAAATCGGAAATCTGATCGCTCCCTACTTCTTTGTCGACTCTGACGAGCCTCGGTATCGTTTGGCGTTCATCATGATGATGGTCATGGGCTTGATCGCCTGCGTGAGCGCCATGGGTCTGAAGCTCTACCTGCATCGATCCAACAAGAAGCTGTACCGCACAGCGATAAGGAATGGGACGGCTTATCAGCCATATGTTATGTAACGCTTGGGATTCCTAGTAGTCATTGGGTTTGAAAAAGTATACGGGCATACGCATTTGCAGGAGCCAAGGACATCTCGTCACCTAAGAACAGTAGGTCCTTTGTCAGATTGCAGTTTGCGAAGTATTGCTACAAAATATGCTAGCACGCTGTTTCGATTAACAGGAAAAAAGAAATGAGAACATGGCTAATGTTCAATATGGAGATTGGATCCAATAGATCTTTATTTCGTTCAGGATGCTTCCCAAACGGCGGGTTGGCTCCGCAGCTCTAATTTAAACTCTGACTTAGACACCATCCCGAAATAAGCCTCAATGTTCGCAACCACAAGTCAACAAGGAGGAGTAGAGGGCCAACCAGGCTACGAGATAGAGTCACAAATGTATTGGCGAAACAGTTATCCCCGTCTGTTCATTGTGTTGTCTGAGGTTCTGCTTGAGTATTGTGATCTTTGTGGATGCCTACGTAATCTGTTCGCCCCTACCCCTTTTGCCCGCCACATGCACTTTGAAATGGCGGTCACCCAAACCGCCAAATAATAGCCTTTTCCCACGAATGTATTCAGTTTCATTTGGCGGTTTGAGAGGGTAGACCTGTTATTGATGGTTAGCCTCCAGACCAACGGCATTGTGCATAGAAACTTACAAGTTCAGAAAGCTCAGAGGAACTTATATCCGATAGGTGCTGAAGCTTGAAATGTGCTTGATACCAACGCTAGCCGTACACTCTTTCCCAGCGTCGACGTAGTACCCTACGACGGCACCACCAGTGCCTTTGAGTAGTACGATAGTTCGTGTTTCACTGGTGCTTTTGATGCGCACGGTACCGGCATTGTTACATCCAGGAGCGGAGAAATAGGCGGCGATGGTAGATTCAGAACAGGACGTTACGCCATCTGTGGTCGTACACGACCCAGACCTGGGAGTATACCATTTGGAGTGATCGACGGAAGGGTCAACGACGGCGCAAGTGGTAGTTTGAGCTGCAGACGCAACGATGAAGGCGCTTAGGGATAGGATGGTGAGTCTCATGGCTGGAACAGAGTCGAAGAGCTTTTTGAGTTGTGAATGATGTTGCGGGAGTGTAATAATGATGATGATGATGGTGGTGATGATGACAACGGAGTAAGACTCATATTTCTGGAAGTATTCCTGGCTTTATATAGCAGTAAATCATAGCAAAGACGTTAATGTTGCTGTTGAACATCGATACGGCAGTGGTGACTTGTTTGGCCTCATGTGTTCCTCTGGTGTGACTTCACTCCTGCAGTCGACTATTGATGTGATCTATCATCTTGCACTTTCATTGCCAAAAGTTTGAGCCTAGAATTCTACAGATCTGATTTGTGGCAATACTTTAATGAGCTGGTGTCAAGGGCACAACGGGGTCAGTGGGGTCAGAACGGGCCGTACCGAACTCTTCTTGGAGTCTATTCAAACGCCGCATCCAATGGGATGATGGTTGATTATTCCAGCGCCCCCACCTTTAGAGCCAAGACACCGATCCAGCTGTAGAAAAGGGCGACGTATTCAGCGGCAGCAGACTTATCGTGTGTTCTTTGCAAATCGAAAATGGATGGTCCTTTCACCCGTGACATCCCGCCGGCTCGCGCGCGCCTGAAGTCATTGGCATTGACCGGGGTGATTCCGTAGCTCTGCAGCTCCCAGAAGCTCTTCATGCGTACATGTGTTCACAACGTGGAAGGGTATGACACCGAAGATTTTCGCGTTGATGCAAGGAGGCTTTGCGGGCTCGGGCGGTCGACGAAGGTGGCCATAGGAGTTGAGGTAGCGTCTCGACAAGCGCTGGAGAATTTTCTCCAGATATGCAGTTTGAAATCGAACCCTACTCATGAGCATTCGAGCTTGGGCAGCGAGTCTGCTTCAATTTATAGTGACTCGATGACAAGGGCACTCACGCAGGATTACCAACGAAGGGAATCAACGCTCAAGCCTGTGGCAGACGCTATCTAAGTCCCGACAAGTATAGTGGAAGGATGACACATACAAGATGCCATGTACTTCGAGCACCTCTTCGGCCGAGATACGACCCAGTAGTAAGATTACATCCTAGTTTGACATCCCGCCGGCATCTGCATGTCTGCCCGTGGGCTGCATCGCGGGACTCCTCGTGTGTGTTGTCAAGTTGTTGGTGGAACGATTTATAATTCAAGTTAGATATGGTAAACCATACTTTGGAACTGTAAGACCAAAGTTAGATTCTTGGAATACTTCCGGAGCATCAATCTGCCGGTATGTAGGAGTTTATGTCCTGTAATTGTGAATTATGGATTATTGTAGAAACTTATATAAAGCTGTCTCGGTCCCTACCAATTTGGTCATTCCTTCCCCATCAACCTCATTGTTACAAACTCTCCCAAGACATAATTGAATCACCTTTCGGTACTTCTGGCTCAATCTTTGTTCACCTTTGAATATGAGAGCCGATATTTTCACTCTTGCTGTCTTAGCTAGCACAGCTATTGCCCAGGACGCACTGACCTGCCGAGTCATCGATCCCATTGAGTCGCGTACCAATTGGTTCACCGTTGAGTCTGGCAACTGTGAGACCTCGGGTACTCTCGAGACCTGTGGACCGTCCGGAAGCTCAATTCAGAGCTTCTTTTCTTTCCCTGGCTGCAATCTAGCCGGCGCTTTGCGCATCAAGAACCACGCTTCGGTCAATGCCATCACCCAGCTCAAGGGTATTGGTGGTTCTTGGGTGGCATACTCTCTTTCAGCGGGCGAAGAGTGCACGACAAACCTCGGCTTGAGCCGTGTGGCTAGCTACACCAACTTTCGCTACAGCAGGTACGAATCGTCTTCCATCTAGGTATTGTGTGTCTAGAGACTGACAAGAAGTGCGAACAGGGCGGACGCAGTGAACGCGACGTCCAACTGAGTCCGAATTAGGATTGGATTCTTCACGTGGACGAGAGAGAAAAGAGGGATTGGGGGCTGTGAGGTTCCGGAACCTGGTCATAGTGGTGAGAGAAAATAACAGAACGTGTGTCCTGTGATACGAGACATAATATGGAGTGATGCGTAAATAAATAGTACGTTGTATTGGGTCCTGATGTCGTCGCTATTCTTCGCTATGTTTTTGAGGCATTGTTGATTCTAAATGCACTGCCTGTTACCTGCCATCGCTGGTCAATATATATGCTCCTCACCGAAGCCTGTCAAACACTCCGATCAGTTCCATTGCTGAAGCAGGTGACGTAATCTAAGGTGTCTGCAAATATCGTGGCGCTTATTCAAAGTCGCCGGATCGATAAATAAGACTTTGCGTTCGAAAACCCGATTTCCGTGTTGTTTTGATACCGCTTCCCACGTTGATGTGACCCAGGTGGGTATTTCTACATGCAAAGTCGCAGATATCGTGAGTTCAGCTTTCTCGCCTAGAACGGCATACCTGAACATGAAGCCCTTGTGCACACCGGCTGCCCAGACTTCCATAGTCCTGAGACGGGGCATGCGTATAGCTGCTCGACTTGCTGCTTGAAGTAGGTTTGCTATGCTGTGTAGACTCAAACATTGGTCAGTCTGGCAAGTAAGTACCAAGTCGGTGAGTTTGGGCCAGGACATAGCTGGCTGGGTTTGTAGTGAACTGGAAGAAGCCTCTATTAGCAAATTGTAGTGTCTGAAAAAGTCTTTCGCATCGATTGCATGAGATATTGCGAGCCTGTTGAGATAAAAGCTGGCACTGACTGCGGCCGAGGTCAAAATATCATCTGATTTCTTGGCATATAATCGCTGTTTGTGAAGCCGTTGGGATTGTGTCTCCCATAAAGACACCTCTTTAATGGTCGAATAGTTATTGATCGTTAGGAACAGCATTGCGTTCGCCCTGTTCCTCTCAGCCTGTCCTAGCCGTGTAACTGCAAGCCATGGTTCGTAGTTGATACGCTTGACTTCCGGCAGGCTTTGCAGTATGTCTCGCATAGAAATTGCCGATAGGCTGCGATAAAAGGTTCTCCGGATGGAAAATTCTTGAATCACAGGTACCCTAGGAAAATATGATTTGCGGGTACTTCCCACGTGCAGGAGATTTCCGATCAATCGCTCCCTGGCACCTCGAGGAGAATATGTGGGCCGATTGTGAGATTCACATCTACCGGGATGCTGGTGCTGTGAGTCGCTAGGGGAGCTGGCGCTGAGCTCGAGTGTTAAGCCCCCCATCTCCCAACTTGAAAGTGCAGAGAAAAGTGCGGTCAACTGTCTGATGAAACTCGCATCGTTCGAGGTGGCTGTGCGTGCGTCTTCTGGTTGGTCGCAATCGTCACAAGAGTATTCTCTGAGCCATAAGTGGAAGGAGATCTTCTTGACCAGTGTTTTTCGAATGTCTGTTATATATCGTTTCATCAGAGTACGATCAAGAGTTGACGATTGGAAGTTCAGGGTCCGCCATATTTGCGGTTCGAAAAATGTCTGCCATTGCCGAGATACACTTGCCAATCTGGCTAGGGAATGCTTTCCATGGGCCAAGCTGCCGAGCTCTTCCAAGATCATTAGTTGGAGCTCCGATGGGATTGCCGTCCATCGAATATCCTGTATCAGATTTCTTCGGGGAGAGGCGTGCTGGGGTAGTTCTAGTCTTGAACTACGTCGCATCGTGAAAGCATGGGCCACAAATGGGCGGATGGCGGGACTTGCAAACGGGATGGGGTGAAGAGGAACAGACAAAGCGTAGTAAAAAAATCACTGAAGGCGGAGAAAGGAGTGGAAAAGAAGGTCAAGGGTAAGGTTTTATATAGGAAGCACGTGTTCTCCAGGTTCGCATTTGACGTTTATGAGCAAAATCCCCAGGGTCACCCAGCATTAAGCTTTCCGCCATCAAAATACACATTCAGAGTACGACGCTGCCAAGGTAGTGACGAACCTTAGAAAATAGACTAGGACTACATTAAAACGACATTCCTTGGTATCTTATACGATTTCTGCTATTCACTTCTAGCGTAATGCTTTCAGCAGAGAGCCGCATAAGACTCTTATTTTAGTCT